ACTATTTTCATTATTTGTTTTCTCTCTCTCTCTCTCGTTTTATCATTGTTAGATCCAAACATTTGTTCTGCATCTATGTTATGCTCAGTTTATCGCCATTCAATTGTTATGATAGATAAAAATAAAAAAAAATATATTCACATCCACACACACACATGCTGTGAAATGTGATGTTCCAAAAAAAAAGAAGAATTTTTTGCTTGTTTTTTTCTTTGATTCTGTTGAAATTTTTTTTTCAAGTTAGTCTGTGATTCTAGATTCTTGATTCAAATTTGTTAGATTTTTCTTCTTTCATTTTTTTTCTCATCATGAATGTGCGATAAAAAAAAAATCCAACTAATAAAGTTGTTATTGTTGGATTTTTTTTTCTTGAACATCGGACATTGAACAATGACGATGATGATGATGATGAGATTCTAGTTATTCCCGGCTTTTTTTTGTTGTTGTTGTTGTTGTTGTCGTAGTTGTTGTTTGGACCAAGTCATTGGCATCAAAATTGTTGGTCGTTGAATTTATAACTGTTATCGTTGTTGTTGTTGTTGTTGTAAATTCTTGTTATTTTTTTTCTTTTCCATTTTTTTTCTCGAACAAAACATGAAAAATATATACGCAAACACAACGCAATCTCTCTTGGGAATTTTTTTTTTCAACAGTCATTCAAGCAATCAATTGGCATTATTTTTTTTTCTATAGTAGCAATTGTAGGCTGTTTTCTATATATTTATTCTGTGTGTGTGTGTATTTGAATTTTTGTTGTTGTTGTTGTTGTCGTTGTTGTTGTTGTCGTTATTCGGAATGGACCAAATGTTCCAAAAAAAAGATAAATAAATAAATAAATAACCAACCCGGCAAAATAAAATGGCTATCATATAGCTACTATCATGGATTCATTTCATATATATATACATTATTAGCCTTAGAGTATATATCTATATCTATCTATATTTATAAATATTTTTTTTATTTCGATTCTATTTATTCTGTTGCTTTTCATATGTAAGTAAAACATCAGAAAAAAAAGAGGAAAGGAAAGGAAAGCAAATACAAATAAATTGACGGAATTTTTTTTTGGGGTCATCAAATTGACACACACACACACACACACACACACACACACATACACACACGGAATTCTTATCACTTATCATAAACAAATGATGATTATTATTTGATTATCAACAACAACAACAACAAAAATATAATTCCAGATAACATCATCATTATCATTATTTTTTATTTACAAGATCATAACAGTAATAATAATAATAATGAATCCATGCTTATAATTCCAAGAATCTTCAATGTGTTGTTGATGACATAATAAATTTGATGATTAGCTAAAAAACTTTTATAGTATAGTAAGCATACATAATGTTTCAATAGCAGAAATTCATTCATTCATTCATTTTCTGTCCATCGAGATCAAACAACCACACACATACACACATTTTTCTTTTTTTTCATCACACACAATCATCATCATAATCATAAAATGTCACATTTCACACACACACACACACACACACATACTTATTTTTTCACCAATTACATGTAATAATATTTTGTTGACATCATCATTATGTCAAAGAATGAGAAAAAAATACCTAAATATAGAAAAAAGAATATGAAAAAAAAATTCTGAACGGTATTCAGAATTTAGAGAAAAAAAATTTGATGACATTTATAGTAACAATGGTAATGATGGTAGCTGAGGAATGAAGCCATAACAACATTGAACATGAAATTCTGAATTCTAATATCAAAGAAAAGGCATTTGATTAGAAGAAAGAAAATGAAAACTATCAGCTCTTTGCAATAAAAAAAAAACATTCCATCATCATTTGGCGATTGTCATAGAATTATTATTTTTTTTATTCATAAAAATAATTGATTTTGGCTCGTTTTTCGTGTTTTTGTTGTTGTTGTTGTTGTTGTTGTTGCAATTCGTGATCCACCATATGATTCAAATTGCAAAATTAAATTTTCATTGTTTTTTTTCATATTTCATTGTAATGGTCAATATGATGCAATGAATAGTAGAATAATAAGTAGACAAAGATGGATTCTGTGTGTGGGTGTGATTATTTATTTATATTCATTCATTTATAAATGATAGATCAATCATTCATATTCATTGTGATCTTTATATTTTTCTTCATTTATTCATTCATTTTTCTTCTGGCAATTTCAATGATCTTATTTTCTTTTCCTTTTTCTTTTATCGGATAGAAAATTATTTTCAACAGAATTCTAAGAATAATCATTTTTTGGATTGTGAAATTCAGAAAAAAAATGCCAAACATAGAATCGGAAAGAATGAATAATTGATTCATTTTTTTCCTTGGAAAACAGAAAATTTGTTCAAAAAAAAAAAACACACGACAAGAGAAATTCGTATTCTTTTTTCATTATTATATACTCTACAACTAATGACTGATTACCGATAATGATGTTGATTATGATGGAAATCATTTTTTTTCTTTCTTTTCATTTTAAATAGTTGAAAATAATAACAAGTTCTTATGAGCGAGAGGTGGTGGTGGTGGTGGTGGAAAAAATTAACAAAAATAGTATACATCCACGATAATTGGATACGTTTTTGAATGGAAAAAAAATTGAATTAGAATCCAAACAAATCAATTGGAAATGAATCGTAATCATCATTATTATCATATCAACATGGCATACAAACAAACAAATAACATTGAAATGTAAATTCATTTAGCCATGAAAACGATTAGTTAGGAATTTTATTTTATTTTCTTTTTTTTGTTCAATTTCTACTTTTATTCGTTCAAGTTCACTGATTACTAATCGGACAAAATGTTTGGCAACAAAAAAAAATGCAGTAACCAAAGAATCAAGAAGAAGAAGAAAAAAACCACTGAATAACCATGAAATAGAATTCGGTAGTATATGAAAGATGAAAGAGAAAAAACAAAACAAAACAAAAAAAAATTCTTAACACAAGTCGACCGTAAAAACCAGAAATATCCTATAAACCAGAGCTATTGTTATAATATACAACAATCATTTTAATGATTCAAAATGGCTTTAACATTCACACACACACACACACACACAGATTCATTCATTAAATGATCACCACAATATATATATGATGATTTTGATTCATTCAAACAAAATCATGGTTCGTTGTTCATTTGTTATCTGATCATAGTGAAATATTTTTTTCCACCCCCTCATCCTACATTTTTTTTCTATGGAATCAAAAAGAAAAAAAACAAAACAAAACAGAATCACCATTCATAACACGACATGATACAATATTGATGATAATCACGTTCCAATAGATAGATAAATAGATAGATAGATGGATAGATTCAAGTTGAATACAATTTTCCTAACAAATTTCATTCTATTCCCCTAGTTTTGCTATCTTTTATTGGCTGTATAACCGTTTTTTTTTTTTGTTAATTTTTTTCCTCTTTATTCAGTTTGAAAAATAAAATTCTGACTAGTTGTTCGCTATGTATGCACAAACGTCAATCGTGAAACTGCAAAATAAAACACAAAAAAAATATTAACAGCCATTTTACCGGGTATAAGATAACCATTATTTTATTTCAAAGTTGTGAGTTTTGATCATCATTGAATATTGAAAACAATGGTAAGAATAAAATAAGAATGAAAAAAAAGTATTCGCACAGTTGGTGGATAGTGGGAAAAATTCTCAACGAAAGAATTATTTGAACAAATATAAAGTGCCCCATGGAATTTTTTCACTTCTTTTTCTTCTTCTACTAACATTTTTCATTCTTTTTATTTCGGTTCATTTTTTTCATTCATTCACTATTATTCTGTTTTGTTGTTGTTGTTGTTGTTGATGGCCATAAAAATAACCACACACAAATTTTGTTTTTTTATATATTTTATTTGGTTTTTTTGTTATTGTTGTTTGCTTGTTTGTTTGTTTGTTTATTTTGTATGAAAGACAAATGAGTGAGTGAAATAAAAAAAATTGACAGTTTCAATTATCCAAATGGAATGGCATTTGATACCCCTTTTTGGGTAGATATAGAGGAGATTGTTTTTTTTTTCTTTTCATTTTTGTTTTGATTGAAATTTTCATAATCATAATTCTTCAGGATTTGGGTAGAAAAATTTTATTCTATTCTATATAGCCAATTATGATCATTACGATTGATTTGAAAGAACATGATTCAAGTTTGAAAAAAAGAAATTAACGTTTACTTAATCCAGGCCATTATCATCATCACCATCAAACAATCATCGATAATGAGTCATTTTCGAGCTAAAAACTTGACTACATCCGCATATATATACCTAAAGTTTATATTGTTTTCATTTTTGACTGTGCAGTGTGTGTGTTTCTTTCAATTTTTTTTCTAATGTTTAATGGCTTTAAAAATAGTGTATTCTGTTGGATGAAAATTTTTCTTTCTCATATATACACGGCAATAAGTAGAAAAAATAAGTAAACGATGTTGGTTGGTGAAAATCCCTATGAAAAAAAGCATAAAAATCGTACTATTCTTCAAAATGAATGTCTAATATATATATATATATATATAGAGTGAAACTAACCGACAAAAAACAGCAAACATCATCATCATGTGAATCATGTTTTTGAATGATTTTTTTTAAATTTCTAAAACACACCAGAAAGAGTTGACTTTTTTCTTCGTCGTCGTCGTCGTCATCGTCGTGCATTCCATATATATCCATTTAAAATGATTGAATAGATTTTGCGTGCACAAAATAAATTCATTTTGGAATTTTCTTTTTTTTTTCGTCATTCACAAATTGAAAATGTTCAAATGGCAAAGAAAATGTTTTGTGCTAGAAATCATAAAAATGCTCAACAATAAAAAAAAACAATGAAAATGATGACATTTTTCGAGATAAAGTCATGGACCCAAAAAACAAAAATTCATTCTGAAATTCATTCAGAATCTGAGATTGATTCAAATGGACCATTCATTAATTTATTTTTGCATATTCACTGTCAATTTAACACATTGGCTGTAAATCCTGATGAATTAGCTGAATCTGGCCGTGCTATGGCTATTATTTTGGGAACCTTAACAGAGGAAGATGCTAATCTTGTTATGAGTAGCCACAATCCAGAAGAAATGCTAGATTTATTACGTAGAAAATACGAAGGTTCTAAATCAGCTAGCATCATGGCCTTAAAAGGTGATTTTCATACCATTAAATTTGATGATCAACTTTCGTTTTTTGGCAAAATCCGAGATATAAATTCCAAGTTGAAGGCTTTAGGAAGTGAACTGGACGAAGTTGACATGTGTCAACGTGTTTTGGCCATTTTACCACCAGAACATCAAGATATTGTGGGCCAAGTTCGAGTAATGTCAGAATTCAATATGGATCATGGTGATATTGATTTAAAATTGGTGAAAATCGAATCATTGTTGCGCCAAAGAATCAAAGATCGGGATTCTGGTATTTCTATTGCTAAACATTCAAATGATGCGTTAAATAAATCGGTTACATTTAATCGGACAAAATGTTTGGCAACAAAAAAAAATGCAGTAACCAAAGAATCAAGAAGAAGGAGAAGAAAAAAACCACTGAATAACTATGAAATAGAATTCGGCAGTATATGAAAGATGAAAGAGAAAAAGAAAAAACAAAACAAAAAATTCTTAACACAAGTCGACCGTAAAAACCAGAAATATCCTATAAACCAGAGCTATTGTTATAATATACAACAATCATTTTAATGATTCAAAATGGCTTTAACATTCACACACACACACACACACAGATTCATTCATTAAATGATCACCACAATATATATATGATGATTTTGATTCATTCAAACAAAATCATGGTTCGTTGTTCATTTGTTATCTGATCATAGTGAAATATTTTTTTCCACCCCCTCATCCTACATTTTTTTTCTATGGAATCAAAAAGAAAAAAAACAAAACAAAACAGAATCACCATTCATAACACGACATGATACAATATTGATGATAATCACGTTCCAATAGATAGATAAATAGATAGATAGATGGATAGATTCAAGTTGAATACAATTTTCCTAACAAATTTCATTCTATTCCCCTAGTTTTGCTATCTTTTATTGGCTGTATAACCGTTTTTTTTGTTAATTTTTTCCTCTTTATTCAGTTTGAAAAATAAAATTCTGACTAGTTGTTCGGTATGTATGCACAAACGTCAATCGTGAAACTGCAAAACAAAAAAAGAATATTAACAGCCATTTTACCGGGTATAAGATAACCATTATTTTATTTCAAAGTTGTGAGTTTTGATCATCATTGAATATTGAAAACAATGGTAAGAATAAAATAAGAATGAAAAAAAAGTATTCGCACAGTTGGTGGATAGTGGGAAAAATTCTCAACGAAAGAATTATTTGAACAAATATAAAGTGCCCTATGGAATTTTTTCACTTCTTCTTTTTCTTCTTCTTCTTCTGCTTCTTCTAATAACATTTTTCATTCTTTTTATTTCGGTTCATTTTTTTCATTCATTCACTATTATTCTGTTTTGTTGTTGTTGTTGTTGTTGTTGATGGCCATAAAAATAACCACACACAAATTTTGTTTTTTTATATATTTTATTTGGTTTTTTGTTATTGTTGTTTGCTTGTTTGTTTGTTTATTTTGTATGAAAGACAAATGAGTGAGTGAAATAAAAAAAATTGACAGTTTCAATTATCCAAATGGAATGGCATATGATACCCCTTTTGGGTAGAGGAGATATAGAGGAGATTGTTTTTTTTCTCTTTTTTTTTCTTTTCATTTTTGTTTTGATTGAAATTTTCATAATCATAATTCTTCATGATTTGGGTAGAAAAATTCTATTCTATTGCCAATTATGATCATTACGATTGATTTGAAAGAACATGATTCAAGTTTGAAAAAGAAATTAACGTATACTTTTAATCCAGGCCATTATCATCACCATCAAACAATCATCGGTATCAAACAATCATCGATAATGAGTCATTTTCGAGCTAAAAACTTGACTACATCCGCATATATATACCTAAAGTTTATATTGTTTTCATTTTTGACTGTGCAGTGTGTGTGTGTGTTTCTTTCAATTTTTTTTTCAATGTTTAATGGCTTTAAAAATAGTGTATTCTGTTGGATGAAAATTTTTCTTTCTCATATATACACGGCAATAAGTAGAAAAAATAAGTAAACGATGTTGGTTGGTGAAAATCCCTATGAAAAAAAGCATAAAAATCGTACTATTCTTCAAAATGAATGTCTAATATATATATATATATATATAGAGTGAAACTAACCGACAAAAAACAGCAAACATCATCATCATGTGAATCATGTTTTGAATGATTTTTTAAATTTCTAAAACACCAGAAAAGAGTTGACTTTTTTCTTCTTCGTCGTCGTCGTCGTCATCGTCGTGCATTCCATATATATCCATTTAAAATGATTGAATAGATTTTGCGTGCACAAAATAAATTCATTTTGGAATTTTCTTTTTTTTTTCGTCATTCACAAATTGAAAATGTTCAAATGGCAAAGAAAATGTTTTGTGCTAGAAATCATAAAAATGCTCAACAATAAAAAAAAACAATGAAAATGATGACATTTTTCGAGATAAAGTCATGGACCCAAAAAACAAAAATTCATTCAGAATCTGAGATTGATTCAAATGGACCATTCATTAATTTATTTTTGCATATTCACTGTCAATTTAATTTACTTTACAATGTCAAACATTGAATGAAAAATTATTCACCAAATTTTTCAAATTCGTATGGTTACATTCATTAATTCATTTGTTCTGTTTTCTGTTCCTGTTGTTGCGCAATTTGAAATTATTATACGAAAAATGGAAAAAAAATTCAACAACAACAACAACAAGAACAATTTTTTTGAAAAATTGTTTCAATTTGTTACAATGTCAAAGTCGTTTATGTTGTCCACCATAAACCATGTTCAAATTAAAAATGTTGAAAAATGGACAAAATCCACGAATAAATGTGAATCTACACACACACACACACACACATTTATATCGGATATCTTTCTAGGTAAACAAATAACGATGAAAAAAAAATGAACAGAAGCAATCAGAGAAAAAAAATTGTTCAAATAAACAAATGTATTACATAATGTATATAAATAACATAACGCTAATACACTTAATTTACCAGCTCAACAACAACAACAACAACAACAAAAAAAAACAAAACATCTGGTCATTGATATGGAATTTTTTTCTCTGTCTTGCTTTGAATTGTTGTTCCAAAAAAAACGAAAAAAAAAAGATTCATGATTTTTTTTTCATTATATTCCACTTGTATATATATATATATCGATATTAGGATTCCATAAATAGTGGGTGTGTATTAATATCATAAGAATTCAAGAAAATGTATTTGAATTTGTCAAGTCAACCATATGATCATTGGATAAACACACACATATATAGCAATCGAATCATGTACAATCACTAGAACAGAAAAAAAAACGATGAATGAATTCGGTAATCGTAAACGGATATTGACTATAACTTTTTTTTCTGTTGTCGTTGTTTTGTTGTTGTTGTTTTTTGTTGTTGTCACTATTACTATACTACTAACAACAAAATAAACATCCAATGGATTGTTGTTTATAAGATGGTGAATGGTTCAAAAAAAAAGATAAAGATAAAGAACGAGAGAGATAGAGAAACATGGAATATATTCACATTCATTTTTTTTTCTTTGCCAAATAAAACAGCAACAACAACAACAACAACAACAAAAACGAGTAGAGTTAATGTGAAGAAAAAAGTTCCCGAATATCATTGGCGAGTTCTGGTTTTCTTCATAGTTGAAAAAAATTTTTTACAATTCCCAGCTAAAATCATTTCTTAACTTTTACATCTCCATAAACTTTGAAATCAATTTTAATAGTTTTGGTCAAAAAAAAAAAAAAAAAAATTCTCGGTGATGGCAATAGTTGTGGTACAATGGTGGTTGTCCAACGTGATTTTGATCTAATTAGAATAATTTAAATTCTTTTCGTGCTTACGAGTATTTTTTTTTCTTATTCTTATTTAGAATTATGAAATAAACAGAAAAAATTCGTAAACATTTGCATACACACACACACACAAACAAACACGCACACATGAAGAGAGAAATGCACAATTCATTATCACACAATCAAATCAATGGTGGGTGCAAAAAAAAATGAAAAACGAAAAAGAAATCAGCATAACTAATAAAGTGTTGTTGTTGTTGTTTGTTTGTTTGTTTTTTTTTTCTTTGGTTCAAACAATTTTGAAACTTTTTACTTGATTCATTATTTTGTTGTTGTTTTGCATTTGTTTGTAAAATTAAATTCCCACTGTTTTTTATTCCATTTTTTTCGAAACGTGAACAAAACAGAAATCAGAGAAGTTTCAAGAATTTTCAGAAGGAGAAAAAAATCTTATTTTCCATACTTTATGTTGTAAAGTTGTTGATTTGTTGTTGTTGTTGTTGTTGTTTTTCACCACCGAAATTATGATTTCGACAAAAACAACCGAATTTTCATTGTTTTTATTTAAAATATTGAAAGAATGGCCTAATACTTTTGCAAATATGCTATAATATAATCTAGTGATTAAAAACGAACCAGATTTTGAAATGAAAACCAAAAAAAAAAAAATTTCATTTTCATCCGATCAAAGATTGTTTTTCTCGCTTTCTCAGAACAACACAAAGTTTCAAATGAACAAAAATAAAATGATGGCGAGCAAAAGTGAGAGAAAAGAAAAAAAAATAATGTTGATCTTACGTTACTGGCCGATCAATATATACAACTTTATTAAAGTTTTTCATTTTGATACCATTTGTTGTTGTTTTTGTTGTTGTTGTTGTTGTTGTTGTTATTATTGTTTGAAAACAACAAAATAAATCAATCACCAAATATACAAATGTAAAGAATTTTCCAGAAACCAATTTCAGTTTGCCATACACACAGACACATATTAGATTAAAAACAACAGTATAAATTCTCAAGTAGTGAAAATGAAAAAAAAAAATCTGAAAAATAAAATCTGATTATCGGAAAGTTTTTTTTTCCAGGAGAAATAATAATAATAAAGCTTTAATATTATAATGATGTAATTGTGAAGGACGAAATTTATTTATTTTCAATGATGAACAACAAAAACAAACCAGAATACACACATTTATGATAATGAAAAATAAGAATCAAATTTGAATCGATGATGATGATGATGATGATATGTAAGTGAATCAAACAAAATTCAATACACAAATTGTACAGAAAGAACTGTATTTTTTTTCTCTTCTTGATTTGTTGTTGAAAATAAAAAGCAAACAAACAATTGACAAAATGAACAATAACAACAACAACAACAAAAAAAACATTCAATCTGGACACATACACACAATGTGAATGAATTATATTGGTTAAACTGGTGATGATGATGATGATGATAATGGTGATAGAGAATGAGAGAAAGGAAGAGAGAGTGAGAAAGAACAAATGATAAAGATAATGATGAGAAAAATAGCGAGAGCCGAAAAGTTTACGGCCACCAACGAAAAAAAAAAAAAAATAAAATAAAAAAAAAATTATTATACCACATATATCACCAAACACAG